ACTGATATGACATCAGTGATGTCAAAATAATTACACAATTTACATTTTTAGCAGTCACTTACATGAGRCACAATCATCTCAAAGGTTAGGTAATAATACTATGTTTACATAATATACAATATTATACACTAATACTATTTTTCTTTTATTAGTGGAATTGGAATATATTTCCAATATTTCTGAAGAAGTAATTTTATTAACAACATCTCTTTCATTATTTAAACAACCTTACGTAAAACAAAAAAAAACTTTTTCATATAATTTTTCCATTTTTGATGTTTTTGATCTGGAGGTGCTAAATTAAAGGCTAGTGATGCTGAAGCACCCCCAAGCACACCCCTAGTTTTGCCTATGGTCGCTGTAATTGTATTTTCGACGTATATGTGTTGAATTTGAATTAAATTATTTTTACAATGTTCCATTGTATACGTAAAACGATTCCGAGCAAAGACGGTCTATATTTTTTAGTATGTATTTATATTGTTATTTATGTGATTTATTTTGCTTTTGGTACAGTAGGCTGAACAAATTTTTGCCGAAAACATTGTAGGTATAATATTTAGTTATGTATTATATRTAAAATATAACAATATATTAAATGATTGAAAAGTTTCAAGCGAATAATATTTTTAAGCCACAAATAAATAAATAAAACCGTAGGTAATTCTTCGGTTAAATATCTAGTTTCATACAAATTATTTTGACTTAAAATGTCTATAAAAAACTGTGTTTGTATATACATATTATAGTATAGTTGGTGTGGTTACACTAGTTACAGTATAAACTACTYACACCGAAAATGATGAAACGAATATTTGTGAAAATTTAAAGTATTTACGTATCAAGTATTTTGAATTTTAATCGTTTTGAATTACGATAAAATATCAACAATTGGTTGAGGAGAAATAGTTCATTAATTATACGGATGAATAATATCCAATGTCAAAAAAAAATAAATAAAACTTCAAACGGTAAAAAAAAACGTATTTTATAATGTGATAACTTGTGTATTATATTATTATAATACATGTTTTTTTATAACATAAAATACGAATAAAAATATTTTTTGCGGCCCCCCTAGTGTTTATAAATGTGTAAATTGGCCGGTCAACTACAAAAGGTTGGACCACCCTGATATACTGTACAAAAAAAGGTAATAAGTGGATAACGCTCAGATATACATTAGGTGTCTAAAGCGACACTGTAATGGWCGTGTTAAACTTGAATTCAATGATATAAAATCATTGTAGGTATACGAAAAACGATTTTATTACTTAGTCGGAATATTTATTATTTTATGATATCAATGATATCATAGTAATTATTTAAGTACCTTATTTTACTAAGATGTGCACTTATTTTACTAAGCTATTGTTATATTTTGAATTCGCTTAAACTTGAAAGTTGTGTAGGTACTAGATTAATTATAAATATTTAATCTGAAACCAAAAAACTAAGTACTATTTRTATTAATATTAGCAATATTACTATAATATATATATATATGTCGCATCCACATAGTGAAATCGCTCATTTCAACTGAATATCCAGATACTGAAATTTGACGAAAATTATATGGACATCCCATTCATGAAATGGACAATACCTACCTAAATTTTGTGCCTTGTGAAATTATTATGAAACAAGGTTGTTATGTTGTTTTGCAATACATAATTATATTATATCATAATATTATAATTTRTTACCAAGCTTACAACTATACTTTTCTATATTAATTTATGAACAAAATGTTTGATTTAAATAAACCTCAAACTAAATCAACCTACCATAATGATAGTAAAAGTAAAATACATTTTTAATAGCAGTAAAAATTATGATAGGAAATACTAACCTAAATTGACTACCTAGTATAATATTCTTAGTAATAATATTGGCTGACGGGTTGACTACGCTAATAGCCATTTTCGCATACAAATTTCATAAAATTATTTTTTTGGTCATAGATATTAAACTAGCCCAAACGATCTCTGCTCATTTCAAAAGTTGAACAAGCCTGCAGTTTTTGTAATATTATTTTCTATTGTATTTATAGTTTATTTTATGCAATTTCGAATGACATATTTTATGTTTTTATTAAAAATTATGTATAGGTACAAATGTACAAAGATTTGACGTTATGAATCTCAATATATGATATTGCTATGCTATAAATAAATAAAACAGTCACAAATGCCTACAATCATACATTTTATAAATAATGAAAATTTGTGTATACCTACCTTGATACCTTACATAATTTGACATAAATTGCAATATATTTAGTTAAAGTGGCGGTGCCAAGGTAACTCACCTCTTACAAGGCTCCTAATATATTGTTACAATGGTAGTTAAAACATATTAAAAATACACACCCACAATTTTTTTTATTGGCATTTAAAGTTCGAATTTTGAAAAAATTTAAGTTTTCTTTGTAATCAACACAGAAAAAGATTTAAAATATTATCCTTATAAAATATGGATCAAGGTAAAAATACTATTATTGAACCAAATGTAACATTTTGTTAGTTGAAGTAGGGTCGTTAAATTTAGGAAAGTGGGCCGAAACCCTTCCAGTCCAGCTCTGAGTATATTTATTATTTTATGATAACAATGATATCATTGTGATTAGAGTAATTTATTTTACTAAAATGTGCAAATATAGCTAAGCTGTTATTAATTTTAATTGCTAAAACTTAATGTTATACTAGATTAATAATTATAAATATTTAATACTGAAACCAAAAAATTAAGTACAGTGGAACCTCGATAACTTGAATCGGTTGAGGTCGAAAAAAAATCGAGTTATCGAARTTTCACTGTACTAATACTAGTAATATTTKAAATGCATAATATATATGTATGTAATACTTTCTGCAAAATTTAAATCAACCTCTACCATAATACTAAAAGTAAAATACATTTAGTAGTAGTATAAAATATATACATTAATATGAAATACCCTACGCTGACCAGTATAATATTCTTATCACACATTTAATAAATAATGAAAAGTTGTACATACCTTAGACACATATCTGAAAATAAAARTGTACGAGTTCTTCATGCTGCTTGTAAATTGTAATCTATTAATAATAAGTTAATAACAATAACTTTATGACCGCATCATAATATTGTGTATAATTTTAAGGAACC